TTGCAGGGTCGTTCATTCCTCAGGATTTATGAAATATGTATTCTAATTATCTTCCTCAAAAGCGCCATCTCAGATCAAGAGTAGCGCGTGATCACGGACCCGGGGGGCGACGCCATGTTTCGTTTTGTTCTTGTTGAGCACTAGATTCGGTTGAGGAGGAGGGCTTGAACACCATTCTTGAGAAAGCAAACCGGCTTGAAGCTGTGGTTGAGAAAGCGAAGGCCAGGTGATAGTGTGGTTGAAACTGAAGCGGGAAACAAACAAACGACAAGAAAACAGTGTGTGGGAGATACTGTGTTTGTTTACTGTCAAGAAGGTCTTCGGCATTCCAAATCCAAAGCGAACATGTCATGTGTCAAAAATCTGGAGGCCGCAGCAGGGGCTTTGCTGCCTAAGAAAAAGAAGCCAAAGAAGAAAAAGAGTACTGAGGGTACAAGTGCTGAGGGGAAAGCTTAGGCCTAAAGCCTTTTTTGCGCAGGGGTGCCGAGGCAAAGGGTATATAATCCCTTTGCACGTGGGATTTGTGCTGTTGGAGCTTCTTAGAGCAAGACACTGCCTGAATCAAGTGTCTGTTGGAAGGCTTCTAAACAGCAATCGTGCTTCAATCTTAGAGCGAGCTATGTCTTCGACGTGAAAAAGGTGAGGGAATATCGTTTACAAAGCAAACTGTGGCTTGGAATTGAATGTTTCAATCTTCCCTTCAACATAAAAGTGTGTGGGAATTGCTTTTACAAAGCAACTCTTGGGATTGAGCCCCTGTATGGTTGCTTAGCTGGTTTAAGGCCATGCCACTGGGAAACCTGGCCAGGTAAGCCTGTGACTTCATCAAGGACCCGTGTTTGAACTATCGAGGGAAGCCTTTGGGGGCATCGTGATGAAACATCTATTGTTGAACAATGCCTTTTACTAGCCATCATTACGCGCTGCTACAGATAAAAGGAAAGACCAGTTGAATATTATACTAATAGATACTAATAGACATATACAAACATACACTTGATATATATCAAGATGAAAATACGTGTTCACACTAGCTGGATTTTTTTGACTCCTGGAGGAAGCGCCAACGGCTTGAGGATTTGGAGCGTTCAAACACAGTGGAAACACTGACCAGTCTTGTTGGAAGGGGCCAACTGCATATATCTGCTGCTGCAGAGATTGCCCAGAACATTGTCAAGGATACAGAGTTTCCTCCCGCGGCCCTTCGCGCGTTTGCTAGCCTCGGAGCTGCAGGAGATCATCCGCAGAATTGTGAGAGGGACCTCCATCGTTGGCTGCACAATCTTTTTGGTGTGCGTTTGGAACCCTACAAAATCCACCTAGACTTGCAGGTGTGCAAGGGTAAAATGTTTTGGTTTGGATTGGAACTATCTATCTATCAGCTAACTATCTATCAGCTACACTGATCCTGTCCAGGTTGATGGTGCCAAAGCAACAAAAACACCTGTCTATGTCCTGCTACCTCATGAAATCATCCATTGCCTTGCAACCTCCCACTGCCCATTTCTCTTCAACTCTGCGCTGCTTGGAAACTTGGATGGGGTTGCTAGAGCGCAGTTCTGGTCCCACGTGTATTCATTGGACCCCTGGAAAAGGCACCCTGTGCTGAACAGAGATGATGTTCAGTTTGACAAGCTGATCGGTGTCACCATCCACGGGGATGGTGCAGCCATGAAAAGGGAAGACGAGGCGTTCGTTTTCTCAATCGCATCATGCTTCGGGAGCAGTGGCATTATCAAGGACCCCCTGTTGCTGAAATATCCAATCGCGATTATCTTGGAGCGTCATATGCACTCAAAGACAGCTACTCAACTCAACATCTGTCATGTTTTTTACAGAACGTACTAACTACCAATCTTGGGATACAAAAAAGGCTTCACTTTGGGTGACCATGGTTTGAAGAGCAAATGTTTGCCCTAGGTAGCGAAACGGGTCAATGAAGAAATTGCTGGCCTGGTAGCGTGGTCTCTTGAGCACGCAGCCAGCGGCATAGCTCCAGTGCGCGGCTACAACGGAGAAACCTTTCCACCCAAATCCTACCGGGCTGAACTTGCTGGAAAGACTTTAGCGTTGGGGTGGAAGCCCTTGACCTTTGATTAGGCAATGCTTTTATGTTCCTCTTAAGGGTATGTAGGGTCTAGTTTAGTCATTAATTCATTCCTTGGATAGTTTTGACCTTGGAACTTCTCTTTGAAGTCCGACTTAAAGGCCAGACAGTATTTGAACAACTTCTCCCGATACTACAAGTGTGGATTGTCGCTGGGCTGCCACAGAATGTAGCCAAATATTTTCTGAGTTGAGTTGCCCGCTGCAAAAATGCTGTCAGGGTTTCGAGTGTTTTGGTTCCAGGGTTGCTGTCAACTAAGGGTGTGTGATACGTGCCTAGCTGGAAATACCAAAGCAACGCCAGATTCCATGAACTACCGTAACTTTGGGTCAACGGCAGCCTGGCCTTTGACAAAGCTGGGACACGATGCCTACCTCCAAAGAGAGGGTTGCCAAATTTCTCCATGGGCGGCTGTTCCAGGATACCGCATCGAGACAGTTGCCTACGATTGGATGCATAACATCTTTCTACGTGTTGGAAGAGCACAAAGACCTTTCAAGGCTACCTCGTAACTCCCGGTCAAAGACTCTCCGAAACCATGAAGTGCGTCAGTAAGGTGTTTGACCGGGCCCTCATTGATGTGGTCAGGCTCCAGGTCAGAGTCAGATGTAATCCTGTCCTGGAGAGCCCTGGCTTCGCAAACAAGATCGCAAACAGTTCCATCCATGGCTTTCCAAAAGGCAAGGACATCATCGTTTGGCAAACCGCGTGCAGTCTCTGACCACCCACTGAGAAGATGGGAGATTTGTCCGATTCTGGTGTGGAACAAAGCTTTGCCGCATTCTCCATGCAGTTGAACCACTGCCTTAGACTGGACCATAAGTCTGCCCTGTCTATCTATTAGTCACGTTTACATTGGTCGCCAACTAGTTTTGCCTCGTACAGTAGCAGTAGTAGGAAAATGATGTAAATGCTACCCATAGGAAGGGACAAGGCGCTTGCCAACTCGGCTTCAAGGGCGTCTCCAGGACTCCTCTTCAGTCCTTGGTCAAAATTGCTGAGGTTCGGGGCGGAAAGACCTCCGGCCGAGGAGCTCCCCTCGGCAGTCTGGTGCGCGATGGCGTGATTGCGGTCACGCTCAGCGTCGTCTTTGGTACTGTCTTTGGTATGCCCTTGTCCCTCACGCTTCCGCTGCTTCTTGATCTTCTTACGGCTGGCGGTGTCTGGCGCCCGCTTGTTCCAATTGCCCTCTCGTCGAGCCTCATTCTGGAGGTCCGCTCTGAAGGTTCGAAGGTCTTTTTGGGCTGCATC